GACGCGGAGCGATCGAAGATGGCGGCTTATTTGTTATTGCTAATTACTGGGGATTTCTGCCTGAAAGCAGTTTGAATGATTGTACCGAACAAAAAGACGGAAAACGTAGGAACATTTACATAGGAACTTGGTAATATTGAGCGATTTGGGGGATTCAAATTCACCAGACGAATGCGTACAGGTTATGCAAAGTTAATGGAACACCGTTAAAATGGCAGGATGGGAATGTTGTTTGATAGTCAAGACATGATAACCCAGCTAAAGTAAACATATTTATATTGTTTTATGCTTAAGTCGTGCTGATATTCCTGTAATATTTCGAATTGAACTGATGTAATGACAAAAACAATGGTAGCACTTTTGGTCACGCATTCGACTGCTGGCGTTATTTTATTTTGTTGTGTGTGATTTGAATAATTTTTTGACGAGTGCCTAATCATTTGCCCACACTAAACTTTACATATATTGAAAGACCTATCCTAGTATAGTTAGAATCTAAAATCTTGTGGAATTCCGAGACATGACACATGGTCAAAATGACCATTCTTTTTCACCGACTGACGAACTCATCGTTGGAGAACACCTTGGTTTTGTTTACCGCCAAATAGTTGGATTAATCCAATATTCTTAGAACTGCGCTTTTTTGGCCAAGGAATAGTTCAGCATTAAGTTGGTTGTATTACAACTTTTTTGCGCTCAATAGTTACGAAATGCGAATCGAATGAAAATGGTCAATTTTCAGCCCAGTTAGCACTCGTTAGATTGATGTCTGGACGTGAAATCGATGATGTCCTTTTTCTCGGAAATACCAAGATATTGGAAGAAAAAAACTACATAGCGTTTTTACTTTTACTAAGGCCTACTTATATGCAACAGTAGGGAAAATTCGATTTTTCAAGCCTTACCGAACTATTTTTGATTTTTGTGTACATTTGCTCTTAACAAACGTGTTTTGAATTTAAGAGTGAGGAACTAAATTCTCCGGTAATTGTAGAGAAGTGTTTTTCGGATGGTGTATGAAGAATATGCGGTCATGTTTTGGCAGAATTTAATCCCAGATTACATGAATTCTTAACGACCACAAGAAAATGTAAAGTTGTAAGTTGCGAATAGACCTATAGTCGTTCGTATATCCCTTAGTGAAGTGTTGCCAATGATAAAACGACATGAGAAGAATTTGACGCTTAAGTTTGACAGGAACTGCAAACAGCTACTTTTAAACGGAAAAAGAAAGAAAAAAGATGCAAAGCACTTTCTACATCACACCAAATACCAAAACGTTTTTCGCTAAAGGCGAAGTCGATCACATTGGTTTGTCATACGTTCTTAATATTAAATGTCAACTTTCTTAAATAAACGCCGGCCGGCCGTGTGTTTAAGGGGCTGAGTTTAAATGTTCTAAGCGAGAGACTTGCTAAAACATCTTACGTAAATACCTCTGCCAAAAACGTATAGGAAAACGAAAATACAACTTACATCAATATAACCCGCACTAGAAGCGTACCCAGCAACCGCTATATCGTAATTCACCATGTTTTTACCATCAGCAGTGGTGGTGAATCCCACAGCACACCAGCCTGTGGTTTTACCAGTCATTTTGAATATCAGCTTGCTGTTGTTGTAGGTCCATTGTAGCTTGAAGTTTCAATCGCCGGAGCTAAGACTTGCATACGAGGTTGCATCGATCTTATTTAGAACATCTGAGACCAGGAAGATTATCAAGACCGNCAACAGTAGGGAAAATTCGATTTTTCAAGCCTTACCGAACTATTTTTGATTTTTGTGTACATTTGCTCTTCAAGAAAGTTAATACACCTGAAGACATAGACATAGCAATTTGTCTTGGACAATTCTGTTTTAAGGGGAAAGGCGCAATGACGTTAACCCTATATGAAGCGTCAACCCGTGAGACAAGGCCAGACCACGACATCGAGAACTGTGGGCTGCTCTGGGAGGTCTCTCATATAAAAAATGTCGGAGATGCTCGTCGAAAAAGTTGAATTCAATGCCTAAAGGAAACTTATGTGGGCGTGGCTCGAGCTTCATTTGACCCCTAAAGGATACCACTAAAAACGGAATACAGCATACAGTCACACCTGTATTAGGCGGACACCCTCGCGGGACCCATGCTAGTGTCTGCTTAATACTGCAGGGTGTCCGTTGAAAACAGGTTCCCTCAGGATTCGTCTTAAAAGGGTCATTTCCTTCTCCCTCACTACGTTCGTACGAAGGAAAAATATTTTTCTTCTCCAGAACGCTGACGCATACAAAGAGACACAAACTATAAGGCAGGCAGAGTGAGAACACTTGCCCGACGATACTTTAATGCCATTACACGCTATACAAGCCAAAGTATTTGGTTACAAGAAGAAAGCTATAACTGTATAAAGTAGGAAAAAAGAAAAAAATAATTTACATTTCTCCTAGGTCAAAGGTAGGGAACAACTTGGTCAATTGTAACCTACTGTCTAAGGAATTTTTGATGTACATATTCTTAGCTGTTTCTGATTTCCAGCGACCGTGGAGCATGAGTGACCTGTCAGAAGAACCTGCGCTAGATTGTCAGCTATAAAAGTTGCGCCGCCGAATCTAAGGCTATGAGCGCTAAAACTGGCCGAAAATTTACTCCTGCAGCCAAAAGAGATTCCTTAACTAATTCTCTCCACCTAGTATAGCTGAGCCTCCTAAGGCCTAAAGTATACGAATTGTCCTTCCTATGAGGCTGAAGTGTTCTGAAAATGTAAGGTGATGAGTCGAGATTAATGCTAGCTGCGGAAAGATATCGAGACAATAATGAGTGAGGACATGTAACAACGCCACTCTTAGCAATAAAAACTTTATTACCTTGCCTAAATTGATCAGTTTACTACTCTTAACGTTAATTTCTAGGTGATCGTCGTGAACTAGAATATCCAAACCTTGCACATTCATTAGCTCGTTGATCCTAAAGAAACTATAACATCCTAAGACAAACATTAAAGCTGTACATAAATCGCTAAGATTGCTGCCGTCGTGGGCAAACTGAGCACAAATACGACGTATCATGTCAGGGGTAATGGGCTCCTTTTTGTTGATCGGCCTGCTGAAAGCTCGTTTGCTAGCCTGTACCAGGTTGCGATTTAGCCCAGTGTCATGCAACCGGATTACCCTGTACACCATAAGGAATAAGATCATGGACCCATTTTAACGCACAGAAGGCAGACAAAACGACAGAATATGATCTTTTAGTTTCATGACGATAAGATAAGTATTCTGGGACGAGTAAGCTAACACAAGGCGGGACTAATTTCACGCCTCTGGACCTATAAGGTACACGCAGGGGCGGGGGAGAACACTGTGCGACGCCTGGCACTTTTTGTGTGTTTGGATCATCCAACAAAAAGTGACGTCACATCCGGTAAAAAAGCCGGCTGAGTGGCGAAATAAAATTTGACTGCGACATAATCGTTCTCCCTGTAAGTAAAACAGCAATATTTCGCGATCGGCGGGATATTTCTAACGTTTTATTTGGCCATGATAAACAAAATTTTGTCTTCNTTGAAAAACTCACTCGTGCAAATTAATTCCAAATTGAACTCGAAACCGTATGATTACCTATACAAATTATGGGGTTGTGGAAAGTAAGTTGTTGATAAAACTGCTCTCCATCCAGGAGCTTTTACTGGTGAGATAAGTAAGGACAGAGGGCTACAAGAAATTACCGTAGCCTGTTACGGAGTCAAAACGCTAAATACGCTTGTAACATAGCAATCAGAGCTGCACAATCAAATTTAGTATAACTAAGCGTGAACCATAGTCCATTATAAAATATTTACGATAGTACGTGTGCTCTCGTCGGTAGATAGGGTTTTTTAATGAGGGCCGTAAACATGGTTTTCGAATTATTTTTCAGAACTATTTTATAAAGGCAGTAGTAGATCTTTTGCGTAATTACATAACCTCATTTGAACCATATAACTGTTGGTAATCGTATGAATGGGAGTGCACTTAAGTATTATTACTTGGAGTGATATTTGAAGGAATTCTCAAATATGACGCGTAGTGTAAATCCTCAATTGCCCAAGCTTTCAAACGATAACTCATCTATTATATGAATGGGAAAATTACGAACGCACGCCCATTAATTTGCACTGCGGTACAAATTAAAAATGAACGATGAATTGGCCTGCTCTCAGCCAATCACAATGAAGCAATTATCTTAAATTCTTTTTTTGCAGGTTTATGGACCTCGCCTGGGACTCGGTCTACAAACCTGTAAAGAAAAAAAATAATAAAAAACAAGAACTCAACCAATATATCTCCAATACGGACCGAACAAGCTAGTTCAATGAGATATCTTTATTACATGAAACATGACCGTCTCATGTATCACGAGACGGCTTAAAAAGCCTTTTGATTAAACACAGGTGTAAACACTTTTTAACCCGGAGATTGCGTAAGCAATCTATAGGGTTTTAGTTGTGGTTCAGATTATGCAAATGATATGCAAACAGGGGCGGGGGAGAACACTCTGCGACGCCTGGCACTTTTTGTGTGTTTGGATCATCCAACAAAAAGTGACGTCACATCCGGTGAAAAAGCGGGCTGAGCGGCGAAATAAAATTTGACTGCGACATAATCGTTCTCCCTGTAAGTAAAACAGCAATATTTCGCGATCGGCGGGATATTTCTAACGTTTTATTTGGCCATGATAAACAAAATTTTGTCTTCTTCCTCGCCATATCGTTTGTTTGTGGAACAGAACAATTATTTGTTCAGAAAGACGCTGTTTTGAAGGCGTGTGTTTTTACGAAATGTCGTCGTTTCTTCGTAACTGAATTCCACAGGA